GACCCAGAGATGGATGGCTGTGTACAGGGAACAGTAAATAGGCCAGTTTGCTTGGTACATGCATTGCATCAAGCAAGCCATAAACCAGGGAGATGTGTTTCCTTAGAGTAGTCGCCAATGTCATGCAAGATTCCTACACAAAATCCAAATAGGATTCCAAAATTTTAAATCCCTTCAATTCAACAAACAACTATTAAGCTCTTCTATGTATTAGGCACTGTGATAAACGCTGGAGATTTGAAGACAAAAACAAGATAATCCCTACCCTCAAGAAGATTATGCTTTATTGATTGATTGATTGATTGATTTAGCTTTTAGGCAATTGGGGTTAAGTGACTTGCCCAGGGTCACATAGCTAGTAAGTGTCAAGTGTTTGGTCTGAGGACGAATTTGAACTCAGGTCCTCCCGACTTCAGGGCCGGTGCTCTATCCACTGCGCCAGCTAGCTGCCCCCAAGAAGATTACACTTTACTTGGGGAAGAAAATGTGTTCAAATACAAGTAAATTTAAAAAAAAAAAGATGTACAAAGTTAAAACAAATTAATTTCAAGGGATAGGAGAAGAAAAAGTCCTCATGTAAGAGGTAGCAGGAATGCCTTGAAGGATATTAAGGATTCCAAAAGGTCAAGATAGGGAAGGGCAATGTTCTAGGCATGGTCTGTTTATACGTTCTATTGCAAAGATCTGGCAGTGAGTGATCAAATATCATACTGGGGGAGCTGCATATAACCCAATTTGACTAGAACTGCAAGTATATAAGGGAGAGTAATATAAAATAAATTTAGAAAGGTAGACTGCAGCCAAATTTTAATGGGCTGTAAATTACAGTCAGAAGGTATGTATTTAATCTTAAGGACAATTAAAATAATTTTTAAAAAAACCATCAAGAAATCACAATATCTCAGAACTGAAAGGGACTTTACAACGATTCCTAAGATCACATTGACCGGTAGGAAGAGTGAGAACAGGTGGATGGCCAGGGCATTGCAATGTTGCTCATTTAATATTAATACAATAAGAGGAAGGCCCCCAATGTGGTGAATTCTCTATGGAAGATTTATTTATGGAAAGATGAGTTTTAAAATATGAGAAAGCATGGGGTGGGGATTGGAGGGGAAGTTTCAATCTCTGCCGGTAGAGATTTACACACAGAAAATATTGCAGATGTAAATAACAAAGCCCTAGCCATTTATGACTTCAGACTTTCTGGGGATTTTTGTGAGAGGAGATGAATATAGTTTTGTAGATATGAGACAGGAAAAGGGAAAGAAAACTGTAATTTATTTTGTGCTGAAGGGAAATAGAAAAGTTATAAGGAAATAAATATTTCTTATTTTTAAAACCCTGTTATGTTCACAAACATATACCTCAAATCACAATTTCTCATCTGAAAAATTAAAGCAATGGGCAAAATCAGGTGGGTGAGACAACAGGTACCACCCTCTCCATTAGCAGATCTCAAAGTTGTTAGGGATCAGTCAAATGGAATATCTTAATGAAATTAGGAAAATGAGAGGTAATTTTGGAGGGCAGAGACCTTGGACAAATCAGTTAACCTTTTCTGGGGTCCAATTGCCTTGTCTATATGATAAGGACGTCAGACCAGATGACATTTAATACCCCTTCAAGAGCTGATGTTTTGTGGAGGTTCAGCCTCTTCTACTCCTATGATTAAGAGTCCCATCAAAACAGATATGAGTCTAGGGAAGCAATTGAGACAGGAAGAGAGAAATGTAAGTAAAGGAGAGTATAAAAAGCAACCGCTTTGCAAGGGAGGAGTGTGGAGGGAGAGGTGAGGAGAGAACTGACTAGGAGGGTAAGACAAATGATGAAGGTAGTCAGTAGAAATGAAAGACTAGAGCAGTGACTTAGAGAGGGACAACAGTGCCCCCTGGGGGTGAATATGAAAAAAGAGAATTTTGTTTTTAAAGAATAAAGCAAACATACACAAGAATTCTCCAAATCTTCCGAAACTCTATGACCAATGATTTTCAAAGTCAACAGATGTTTATTATATACTAGTTATGTTCAAGGCACTGTAGTAGCTCCTAGGAGTACAAAGATGAAATCAGATGTTAAAAGAACAAATCTTAAACAAGTCCTTATAATACAATCCGGGTAGAACAGTGAGGACACTGGAAGTTAATTACTGATATAACCCCAAAGCCGTTTTGGAGATAATATCTTACATTTTCATATTTTATAGATTTCAACTTAATTTTACAAGGAACCATATGAATAGAGGAATATTTGACTTAGAGTTAAAAGATTCAGAAACCTGGGTTCAAAGCCTCGCTCCATCACTTAATAGTTGTATGTCTTTCAGAAGAATTACTTCCTCTCTCTGCTTCCGTTTTTTCAACTATAAAATGAAGGGATTAGACTAGATGATATCTAAAGTCCTTTTCCACCTCTAATACTATGACACTAATTCATTTGATTCTCACAACCATCTTATGACATAAGCAGGGCAGATATTAGTATCCTATTTTACAGGTAAGGAACCTGAGCCTCTGAGCTCTTGAGTGGTGTAGATAAAGAAAAAGTTCTAGACTACAAGTCTAAAAACTTCAATGCTGTTCTTACATTGGCTACTGACTCCTCCTATCATTTTGGAGACAACACAGGTCTACTGGACCTCTTTGTTTATTCAATGAAGGAGTCAGACTAGGCATTTTTTAGGGTCTCTTCTAGGATTCACTGATTCACATCACTAGTTGGGGCAAGACTATTGCTAGAGTCCAAGTCTTTTCTTTGTGAGATGTTCTAACTGCCACCTGGCAACACTTTTGTTACACCATAACTGAAGGCAGCAGGTAGGCCCAGAACACTGTCCTGCATCCCTGACATCCCTGTGCATTTGCTTTGTATACTGACAGATCTCACACTGTTGTGTTTAGAGGAGACAGAGAGGTTCTATTGCTCCTTTCTTGATGCAATGTTGTATACCAGAACTGCCAAGAACTCTTTCATCCCACATACTTTTTCCTCCTTTTCCTTCCAACTATTTCATGTGTGTCATTCTTGTCACCCCTAACTAGACTATAAGTTCTTTGAGGGCAAGGAGCATGTCTAATACTTATTATTCTGTACTTCCTCCATAGTATTTGGCCTAGTATTGAGCACATAGTAAATAAGCACATAGCAAGAAATATTTGTTGATACTCTGCCCTAGTCAGACTACCTCTGGACTACTATTTTCATTTTGGGGCACCATATTTTAGATGGACATTGATAAACCTGAGAGTGGCCAATGGAGACTAATTGGAATAGTGAAGGGCCCATAGTTCATGTAATAGGAGAATCAGGGAATTAGGGACATTTAGCCTGAAGAGAAAACTTAGGGGGATATGATAGTTCTCTGGGGGTTGCTCCTATGAAATTCAGATTTCAGCGACTTTCATGGTCTAGTAAGAGTAATAAGAAAAATATACACAAAGAAATCACTACAAAGTAGAGTGTGATAACTGCATCAAAGAGGTACAAAATGTTAAGATAATTTGGAGGACAAAGGCCCCTTTTAGACATTCAGTAGCTTTTAACTTCAAACACACTTTAATAGTTAAAGAATAAATAATATAATGATACATGTAAGATGCTAGTTATAACTAATTACTTCATTATTCCACAAAATGAATGGTTAGTAAACCTAAGAATACAGAAGTGACAAACAAAATATAATTTTTTTAGACTTGATAAATACCACTTTGATGAGCTAACATCCATCCCTTCATGGCTTATAGCCACCATTTAAAATAAACCATTGAGTTGAGTACAGTAGAGTTAACAAAGGAACAATCTATTAATTTGCCAATAATGGATACATATAACCTTATTAAGACACTTCAAATGTTATAATTGTAAAGTGCCTACAGATCCTCCTCATCCCTTTAACCTGATTTCTCTGTGGTTTCACTCCACAGTCTGAGGATTATGAGGTATCTGGCTGAGTCTCCAGGGAAAGAGATGCAGGTTGGGTTGTTGTGACTCATAGGTCTGATGTGTTCAGGAGACAGAACAGCTAGCCTAAGAGGCTATGTTTTGTGCTGCACTGAATGGGACTATAGAAGTAATGGCATCTGGGAAATAAGATTGGATGTTTTTTGAATGAAGGACCCTGATGAGTCTTTTGGTAACACAACCAAATCATTCCTTAAATTGAATGAAGAACTTTTCCCAGAAAAAAGACCCAATTATCTATGTGCTGACTCAGTGTAGCTCCTTAATGTTATAGTCTATTACATAAAGCTAGTGTTTAAATAGACCATTGACTGTTTTCATAATTGTTTTTGGCAATAATGTAAACTGCTCTTGAAGGAGGATCTTGTGAATGAGCTTCAGAATGCTCTCAGTATACTACCACTGCAGTAAAAATGCGACCAAAGGGCTAGGGGCAGCATATAATTGTGTACATGAGAAAAATCCAAAAAAGTTCATTTGTTTAAAATATCACAATCATAAAAAGGCTAGATGTCTAAGTATCAATAATTGCCTGTAGATTTGTCTAAGTTCTTGGTATTTTCCCATGAAGAATCAAAACATTCTAAAGGGAGTCTGTGACATACTTGAAAAATTTCCCCAAAGATACTCTATTTCATTATTAGAAAATAAATTAGAATGAAATGTAATAAGACATATCTGTCTTAACATTTTATCTTACTTGCATTAAAAAGTAGCAACAGCAAATTTCTGCAGAAGAGATGGTCCTTGGTTTTTGAAGTAGCCAAGCATATAGTAGGAACAGTACTAGATTTGGAGATAGAGAACCCTAGGTTGAACTCTGGCTTTGCTATTTATTAGTTAGTTGTATGACCTTGGCCAAGTCAATTGGCCTCTTTTGGTCTCAATTTTCTCCTCTAACAAAATGGAGTTAGAGCGCTAAGATCTCTCTCAGCTTTAAATCCCATAGTCCTAGTTTCCTCTAGAAAGACCATGTGCCACTCAATGTCTTCAATTTTTGCACAGGTTACCCTGTAACATTCCTATCATTTGTTTTCCAGGGTTTTGAAGGTTTTCCTTTCACGAACAGCTCAACGTATCCCCTATATGACTGGGGGCCGGGTCATGAGGATGCTGGCAGTAATTCTCCTGATAGTATTTTGGTTTCTCACTGGTTGGACCTCAGCTGTCTGCCAAAATTTGGAGAGGCACATCTCACTCATTGGACAGGGGCGAACATCAGACCACCTCATCTTTAACATGTGCCTCATAGACCGCTGGGATTACATGACAGCAGTTGGTATGTAACTTTTCATGGTAATTTTTTCTTTAATTTGCTCCCTGCCACCCCACTTTTTTTCTTTTTCAAAAGATGAAAGATGACTTGTTTGGGAGTCTTAAGAAATGTGATCTCTTAGTTAATGAAATTTCATAGTTAAATGCTTAGTAACTATTTCACAATGAGATTTAAGGAGACCACATTATAAAAAGGGTTAAGATTGAAATAACGTGCAAGTATAAAAACTTTTATCTTTAAAGTTATATAGCATGATATAATGTATGGGGAGAAGGCCTCAGAGTTAGAAATATCTGAGTTCAAGCTCTGCTTTTGACACATACTCTCTAACATACTTATTATTATGTTTATAAGTTGCAGAAAAGTTGCGGCTCTGCATTGGTCAAATGGGAGCTAAGAGTTCTCAACACCATTGGAATCTGGTGGCAGCTAGGTGGCTCAGTGGGAAAAGCACCATTCCTGGAGTCAGGGGGATTTAAGTTCAAATCCAGCCTCAAGCACTTGCTAGCTGTGTAACCCTGAGCAAGTCACTTAACCCTGATTGCCTTCCCCCAAAAGAAAAAGAAATCAATTTTCTGAACCCCTATCCCCCCAAAAATCCTAATAGCATTTCGGGGGGGGGAAAGATGGTAGAGTCAAATGCATTGGAAAGGACTACTTTGAAGAATGAAAGCACTTTTGTAGTGATCTTTAAATGTCTAGTTTGTAACAATGGAGGCTTTTCCTTTCTACCCCCTAACTTAGAAGAGCTAGCTGTACAGTGGCAAAGAGGAAAACTACTTTGTTCATACAAGTAGATCGCCTGCAGCATACTCTCAGCTTTATCTATTGAGTGTAAGAAGAAGTGAGCCATACTAGCATTTTTCTAATGATTAATATTCACTATTATGGTCTGTCAAGCAAAATATCTTATTATCCAACTTAGTACAAATGAAGAGAAACTTCTTGCTAAATTTCTGCTTGACCAATACTGAGTTGTAAAGACACTTCATTAGTGACTCTCTGAGGGTCTGATACCAAAAGACAAGGTCAAACAACTTGCCATAAGCAGCTGTGGATGGAACAAAACTGAACTTGAAAAAGAACCATTTACATTTAATGTGCTGGCTTGAGATGGGAATGTAAATACAGGTTGTTCAGGCACTACCAGACTTATGAAAATGCAGAAAAGAAATCTTTAGGGACCTAGAAAAGCCATGGATTGGATATTATTGCTATCAAATGTTAGACTTATTTAATCTCGTGTGTCCAGAAGCACCACAAGGAATGAAAGAAAGTTATGAATTTTATTATTTCTTTCTATGGTAGAGGGAAGTATAAAGAAAATCTTCCTTTGGGGAGAGCATGTTTGTGTAAAGTATAAAACTCTGACTCTTTTTGCAGTTTTCCCTCCCACATTTCTTGACAAATATGTATTGAATGGAAAAGTATTTCCCTACATGCTAATCAATGTCTTAATTTGAAATTCCACTGAAAAGAAACTCTTTCTCCTCTCTAGAAATGACCTGCTGGTCATGACTGACCAGTCCTAGACAGACTCTTGACTCTATACTATATTTCTTTTTCTTTCTTTTTTCACAGAGTTCTGAAAATCAGGGGAATTGGGGGTAGATTGGAAAGGAGACATAACCTGTCTCTACTACATTTTTGAAATTATTTAGAGATTCAAGTTATTTAAAGTATCTTGGAAATATACTCTGGGTCATTTTGGAGAACAACTTCTATCATGGAACATGTTACTGAAATTTAAATTCAGTTAAGTGGCTAGTATGAGCGAGGTGTTAGAGGAGAGTAATTCTAAGACAAAAAGAAGACAGAAAGTAGTCTTATATTTCTACCAGGGGAAAATAACATACATACATACATACATACATATATGTATATACATACATACATGCATATATATACACACACACACACATATACATACACAAAATACACCTTGAGACATGAGATTGTAATACAAGGTAGCTCCTGATCTGGGGTTCAATGCAAGTAGGATAGAAATTTGGTTGTTTCTTAAGAGACTATAAACTCCCCTGCCCACCACAGGAAAAGAGGTGGGGTGGAGCCAATAGTGAAAGGAATTCTGAATTACAGAAATGCTGGAGCCAACTTTTTACAAGGCATAAAGCAAGATGCATCTTTAGTTATATAACATGCAGCAGTGTGAAGGACAATAGATTTCTGACTCATTAGAAAGAATGCAGTTGAGACAAGAATTTTTAAAGTAACTGTTGGTATATTTTTAAAATCTATAAATAAATAACATTCTATTCTATAGAATATTGATTATTCAATCAACATTGATTATTCAATCAATAAATACTGATTGGTTAATCATCAGGATTTATTGAGAATCTACTAAGTATTTAATACTGTGCTAGGTACTATGAGGAATGTGTGTGTGTGTGTGTGTGTGTGTGAGTGTGTATGTATACATATTCACTCTCGACAGAGCACTTATCATTATGAAGAAAAACAGTAATACACATAAAATAAGTAGAGCATAATTAAAGGCTAATTAACATGGTACTGACTCAATGCAATAGCAGCAAAATGCAACATCATCAGTACATGTTACAATGGACAGAGAAGTCTTCATGGGAAGGTTGTTGGGGGCTTCTAGTTAAGACTTCGAAGTGAAACGATCTGGGGAATTCCAGCCATTCCAACAAACATGCTAGTAAATATTTAAAAGGGCAGTAGGTGAAGCAATGATCAAGAAAACTAAAGAGAAACACCAGGAATCAGTTCCATCCAGTTCAGGACTGAACAAAATGGCAATGAGGTGGCCCCAAGGAAAGAGAACTGGACTCAAGAGTCAGGAAGTTAACATCCTTCCTCAGACACTTGGTAGCTGTGTTATCCAAGGCAAGTCACTTAACCTCTCCCAGTCAGTTTTCTCATCTGTCAAATGGGTATTATAACAATAAGAATACCTACTTCATAGGGTGGTTGTGAGGATCAAATGTGATATTATGTGTAAAACATTTTATAAAGCTTAAAGTGCTATGTAAATGATGTTATTATTATTATTACTACAAGAAGGTATTCAGAAGCCTGCAAGCTCTTGGAGGAGGGATCCTCTGTGGGGATGAAGGAAAAATTAATTTCACATAACCGAGTGTGAAGTCAGTGCAATCTTAGTTTTGATCTTTTGGAACCACAGTGAGGAACACAACTAGCACCTAGTCACTTGTCCATAAGATAGTCTCGTCATTGCACCTGTCCCTGGGGGCCTTCCAAGAGACCTGAAGGCAGCCCTGCTACTGAAACCAAAGCGGAAGAAAAGGCGAGAACATTTCCCAGGCAGCTCATGCTCTGGGGAGCCTTCTAGGAGGCCCAAGACCAGCCTGAATTCCAACATCCAACAGACCTAGGGATAATACATGGGTGAGGAGACAGAGATGGGACGAGGCCAGCACTCACACTACAAGGAGACAGGTTCATAAGCCTGCAAAAAAGGGCAAAGCCTGGTTCCAACCACCTCATTCAGAAATACAACATCTGCAATATGTATATTACGGAGATGGTAGGACCAAAATTCCAATCTAGGAATTGAGACTAATGGTTTGGGTAAAGAAAATAAAACTGCAAATTACATTAAAATTATTATGGTGTAAGAGAAGGCCAAAAGATAATCCCAGAAGATGACAATAACTCTATAACAAATACAAGTAAAACCTTGGAGGAAATACTGGCTTGGCCACAAGGACTCTAAGAATGATTGAAAGAAATAAAACTAAAGATAAAAAATAAATAAATTAGAGCTTTCAAGGAAAAAAATAGAATGATTGTATAAGCCTAAAACATAAAGGGAGAAAGTTTACCTGAATAGTGGACTCCCTGTACCCCCTGAATTATGCTGAAACCACTTTAAAGAAGAGAAATTTTGGAACATAATATTCTAAAAGACAAAGGGTTCCACTTAAGAGTAATATCCTAAAAACTGAATGTAAGCCTACAGAGGAAAAAGTAGACCTATGATAGAAGGGAAGACTTTCAGGCATTCCTGGTTTAAAAATAAAACAGAGCTGGGTAGAATATGTGAAATATAAACGCAAGAAACAAGAAAGATTGTATTTAATCTGCACCTTGATTGGTAAAATTTAGATTTCCAGAAGAAAGGGAGCATTATAAGTGATGGAAATAGTATAAACAAAAGGGATAGAGCTAAATGCCCATTCAGACAAAGAGGAAAATGACTGGCTAAGGCAAAGTTTGAAGGTAGAGAAATAATAGGAAATAAGTTGGTTAGAAAGGGCAGTGATATATCATGGAGGCCCATGGAAGTCAGGCAAAGAATGAACTCAATTCAGTAGACAGAAGAGAAACATTGTAAGTTTTTGTGTACAGAAATGTTATATGCTGAAAACAGTGTTTTATGAATGTCAATCTATAGTATTGGAGGGAATCAAATGAAGAAAATAATAAAAATAAATTTTGATCTTTTTCATTTTAGTATGGTTGGTTCAGAAAGAGAGATCAAGGCAAAAGTTGAGGAGCCAAAAGAGAAAAGGATACCAAATATGAGATTAAAGAGAAAAGCAGAGGAAAAACTTGGACACAGTAGATGAAACAGAGAGGTATACAACTCAATATCTGCAGATGCTGAGACAAACCCAGATCTACAGAAAAAGAAGGAGAGAGATGTAGTGACAATATACAGAGATAATGTGAGTCACGAAAACCAGGCTTTCATAGACTAGAATTCACATATTATGGCCTTTCAGGATGTTGCAGATAAAGTATTCTTGTGTTTTTAACACTGTGGATGAACAGTGGGGTTACCTCCTCTGTGTATACTGTTGCCCTGTTGAAGTTGTCAAGAGCAAGACCCAACCTTCATGGGGATTCACTTGAAGGTTTCCTGTTTCTAGTATAATACATGTAGAACTAAATATTTACTATTTGCTAGTTGCAGGTACCAGTAAATCTCAGGTCAAACTAATATAAAACCAACCAGATCAAAGCAAGCCTCATTACTGTTACTTTCATTC